CACGACATTAACATACGAATTCAAGCGAAACTAATAAAATTTCCATCATCGCCGGGATAGAATCTGCATAATTCGATCGTGCCGCGACGCCCGGCCAATAAAACAAAATTCGAGACTGAATAGTCTGCGCGAAAGACGGTTCGAAGCTCGGGTCCATGGAGAAGCTCCTCGTCGAACTGGATTCACTCGGAAGAGTCCCCGTCGCGCCGACTGCGAATTGCTGCCGACTTCGAGCAAGCAATATTACAAAGATCACCGGCCAGATATCAACCCCCGCGTCAAACATCCGATAAGTCGTTTTACGATCGCCGTAAAAAGCTTGCGACGTCTACCTTCGACGCTCTTCCTATCAACCCAGTCAGCCCCTTTTCCTGTAAACTTGCCAGCGTATCAGCTTAGCACGAAAGAATTCTTACGTTTCGTTCCTATATTCACCTACACAATCCGCACGTGTACTTCTAAACTGAAACAAGTCAAAGACTTATATTTTTGAGTTATCACCATCCAAGAATGGGATAAACAGTCCTCTATCAAACACGAAAAGTGTACCAAATTATATTTAAATCCCACCCACTATAGAGTCACTCTTCTTGCTTTGAAACCGCCCATTGATTCTTCAAGAGTGACACGTTGACAGCTGAGTATAGAATCTCGTGGTGTATGAGTAGCTTAGCTTCGAAATATGCAATAATAATATTGAATCGTTTTATCTATCGCCTATACATATTGCGAAAATTATTGGTTTTGTACATGTTTTCTGTTAAGCTCGCTTAAGGATGTATTGGCTATACAGTCAATCCCAAAAGTTTATGCACTTTAGAAACGCATTTTTTAAAAAGAAATCAGACATCAGAAGAACAATGCTAATAATAAACAACAAAAAAATTTTTTCGATTTTTCCGAGATTTTTCCAAGGGGTACTATTCACTTGTATCACAACCTACCGCTGATATTGTAAGTAATAAATAAATTTTATGCAGTTCGTCAAACACATTTTGTTTAGGCTCTCTTGTTATTGAACTCTCAGACATGCTTCGCTGTATTGTAATTGAAAAACAAAAGTTTTTTAACAAAAAAAAATATAAAGAATCTCGGATATTCGACCAAAAACTACACGTGAAAGAGCATATCGCGTGACTACTGAAATATGAATAAAACCGGAAACCAATTCCGTCTGATACCCGATTCCTGTTTTCGAATTGCGAGATCGCTCGTCACGCACGAGCGATAGGAACCTGGTTTTCCATGAGAGCAAATAGTTGCGCGACACCGAATTCGAAGAACTAGAGATCGGAGGGGCTCGTTTTGCGACGGTCCAGACGATAATAAAACTATCAAGCTCGTTGACGTCAAAGAACGCTGCTCGTTCGTCCAGTGATTCCGTCCGAACTTTGAACTCGCGCGTGCTAGGAGCGGCCGGAATATTTTTTTGGTGAATATCTCCCGGCTCTCAGTGGGACGATGATAAAAACCAATTAATAGGTTTTACGTATGTTACGCATTGGACAGGTGTCCGGTGAGAGAGTTGATCAGGGGATACAGCCTTTCACCGTAACTAACGAGGGCTGAACGAACGTCATTGAAACGGACCGCGAATATTTACATTTTTCATCGTATTTTATGAACATGAAAAATTAATGGTGGATTCACTTTGACGGATTCAACGCATTTTGCGCTTACGGCGTTTTTCACTTTTCTCATCAGTACACACGAATATCCGGCTTTTTGAAATTGAAAAAATTGCCTGAAATGTATGAAAATAATATTACAAAACATATATTTGGATTTGTAACAATACTCATATTTTCTTCGAGATTTCAATCATCTCCGGCGGTAAAATGACAAGTATTTTTTGGTACATTTATTTTAAAACGTCAACCGCAGCTTGTGCAAATATCCGTGGAAAGGATTAAAATAAACGTGTATTTGAAGGGCTCGCGTATACCGGAAGTCTGATACTTTAAAATGTGTCCACGGAGCACACGATTCGTGGGATCCATGAAGAGAGTTTGAATGACGCCGGGTACGTGTCACGAAATCTTAAGCCGGAGTGCAAGCAACAATCGTTGGTGGCAGGTCGATTTCGAGACATCGAGTTGACCCGAAATTCTCTCTCTCTCTCTCTCTCTCTCTCTCTCTCTCTCTCTGTCTTTCTACGGATTCCACAATTTTATACCTCTGTAATTTTACGTTGAACCACAGCAGACTGCCGAAGGCACCGTGTTTTACGATGTCACGTATAAAATAAAACGCTATCAGCGCGGGAATAAAGTCGGAATATAGAACGGAGATTCACGAATGGGACTCTGGTCGCTTATCTGTTCCCGTCGTTACTAAATACCTGCTCTTCTCCGGCTCCGGTCCATTCAGATCTGTCTATTTTCTTCCCGAATGCGTGCATACGTGTACTAAAAACTTCCCAAATTACAAATTCGTTTAATTGTCGTATTCGCAGAAATGTTTTCACGAATGACGAAGAGATTGAAATAAAGTGTAATCTTGCTAATTTATAAATGTTATAAACATGGTATGTCTTGGCGTATGAAATCCGTGGATTGAAAAAGGCATTTCTGTAGAAGCTAAATATAGTAAAGAAGTCAGGAGGCTAAAAGGGTACGCGACCGATCAGACCGGAGCGAGCGGCTGACCAAAAGGAGCGGAGATCCCTTTCATCCAGTCTCTTTAGTTAATTAGCAAAAATCCGGCTGTCCGTCGTTGGATCCTAGAAATCTCCTCGAGTCTACTTAGCCAAAAGGAGTAGCAATATCCCCGGCGAGCTGAAAGCTCGGCTACTCGCGAAAGCAGAATATTAGTCTTTGAAGAATAAACCGGAGGCGCTGCGGAGAAGTCGTGTTAGGCGGGCGCAATCTGCAAATATTGCGCCTCGTCCCTCTCCCGGCTTCTGTTAAAATTCTCGGATTAATAAATGAAACGAGATCCGGCCACGGGATGAAGTCAACTTCCCGTGTCTCTTCTTCTTTCGTTATCCGGCGACGGTTCTAAATCCGAACGAATCCGCGTCGCGAGTCGCCGAGCTCAATTGCGAAGTCGACTGAAAGAAGCCCTCGAACGATGAAAACAGAACCGGGCGATTTAATAATTTGCCAGTCGCTGAACGTGATTTGTATTTTGCATTCGCTTTCTTCGACGACGGAACTGTCTGTCATTGAATTTTCCTTATAAAATTGCGCGCGAACGGGCGGCCGCGTATAACAGTTCATGTAAATTCTGCGCACGGAGTCGAACTTCGAGCTCGTCCCCGGAAAATTCAAATCTTATTCAAATGCGAATGACTCGCCGTTTAACCGCGAAATTTCGCATGATCGCATGGAAATGCGGGCGAAACGGTTTGCGAACCCGAAGTTTGCCGTCCGATTTTGAAATAAACGCTACGCTTTAACATAATTCCGTGTATGGGACAGGTGAAAAGTTTTACTATTAGGATTCATAACTATCATAAAAATTTATTCACACAATTTAATTCCTAATAGTGACTAATTAACGGCATATTAAATCCTTTAAAATCCGTTTAATAAATTTCCAAATCCTCCAAAGAAATTTAAAACAAAAACGTGAGGAATGTTCGTTTCAATTTTGAACGAGATTTGCCAATAGTATTCGCACTTTACTCGTTCCATTGAACTGAGCTGCAGTTCGTGTGACAGGAGCCTTTTAGTAGCGCAATTTCTAAATGCATTAAGCTTATTAGACGTCGAGTCAAATTCCACGCTTTGTCGTCGGAGAATCTCGCCTGAACAGTTCGTTGTTGCTCAGTTCGATTCAATTTCGATAAGAAGCTGATTACTTCGATAACGATTTCGTGGCGGAAACCGTTCGTCTCATAGAATCTCGTCTCGTCGAAAGCTTAGATGGATCAATCGTTGACTCCAGTCATGATTAGGTAGCCAGGTTGGTCGTATTGTCATCAGGTTCAAGCATCCACGATCAATAACGAAGTAGCCATTGGCAGCTGTCATTCGAATCCGCTATTCCTCTTGATAATGCTAACAATGGTCGATAGAAGTCAAAGCGCGCGTGGTGATGATTTCTTGTCGACGGGATCACATAATGGTCACTGTCTTGTAAAAGACTATCGTCACTGCAGGAACAATAGATCCGGCGTTAACGATGACGTTGACGTTAATTCGATTCCGATGGAGGAATTATTGAATTTCATTTAGCCCGTTATCTATGGTGGGACTGTGTCGATAGATTTAAGAATTCATTCGTTCAAAAAAAAAATTCAACAGTTCTGTTCATATTTATTAATGAGACTCCAATAAATGATAACATATTCAATACACTTGAGGATAATTAATCATAAAACATGAATATTAATTCAATCGTAGCTAGTCAAACCTTATACAGTTAATAAAAATGAATCTGACAATGAGCCAGCTCGAGGTTGTATTAATTTCTCCTAGGGAAACAAAATTCATCAGGAATAACAAGTTTGTACCTTGTTTTTTTTTCAATGTTCTATCTGATATTGATGCAGCTAGATTTTGACATAATTTTGACGTCTGAAAATGAAAACAATTTTACCCTACGCACATTACCACTACCTACATTAAAATTATGTCAAAATGTAGCAGCGTCGATGTCAAATCGGGTATTGCAAAAACAAGATGTAGACTTATTGGTTTTTTTTTTAATTTTATCCCCTGAGGAGAAATTAACACAAGCCCGAACTGGCTCAGATTCATTGTTACTAGCTGTACATGTACATACATGTGTATACAACAGCGGCAGTAAGTAAGAGAGTGAATCGATAGAACGATAAAATTGATCACGTCCTTTATTAAAACGAAATTGGACGTTTGAATCAATCAGTGCCGTTCACGGAAATACATCCTTCGCTTGTTTCGTTTCCAACGTTGCGAATTATTCGCAGTTTCGTTCTGGCCAATTAAATCCGCGAACAACTCGCTAATTAAGTAATTTCATTATAAGGAGACGGTAGCGAGTAATAACATTTCTCGTTGAATTATTGTTCCCAGGCACTTTCGCGCGGGATCAAAAGTTGTTGGGCGCGAACGTCTTCGGCACTCAGAACGTCACCAACCCGCCGACGTTCGAAATGAACATGCCGCGAAACGTGACCACCGCGGTCGGCCAGACCGCTTTTCTTCATTGCAGAGTTCATCAGCTCGGTGATAAAGAGGTAAGTGGATTTACCTGTTACTTCCGGTCAGGATGTGGAGTAACGAAGAAAAATACCTTCGCCTTTTATTGCTATTTAGCTTGTTCGATATAGGAACGTGTGTTTGAAGAGATAATGACTCTACTCTGTTTCCGTTTGCATGGTGTCTAATTCTATTTCGTCTATCTCAGCGTTTATACAAATGTATCAACACATTTCTTTCTGTACATATTTAACTGCAATTTAATGTCCAATCGTAGAAATAAAAGAATACAAAGAGGAAGCCTGTCTCTAAGAAAATTTATCGATTATTGATTTAAGAGTTACTTTCAACGGCAACTTTTACATGTAGATATTAATACGATAAGGAGGAGGAATGAAAAGTCGTGTGTGCCAGGTATTACGGGCAACGATTTTGATCCCCTTTCAAAATCTTCGATCCAGACCACACGAGAGAGTATGAATCTGAGAGGCTTGTAGGATAACATTACCGCAAGGCTGCGGCAAGGTTTTGAAGCTGGCTCGTATAAGATGGAATATGCATGACGCGTGTTCCAAGCAGGCGCCAGCCTCAAAGACGACATCGATATCCTGGACACGCACGTGATTATAAAATTTGTCAGTCTTCTTTTATTCCTGGGATAAATCGTGAACTGAAAATCGCGCGTGAAAGAAACTTCGGTAACAGGTGAAAATATTTGGTCGGCCAATATTGATCTTCTCCACGGTACCAGACTGATACCGCTATTGAAATTCTTGTTATATATTCAACGCGGTGTACGTATAATTCATATCGCGCGCTACCACTGAAAACCAATGAAAAGATTTACTCGATTTCGAGAGGGATTGTTATTGTAATTGCTATCGACCTCTCGATGCTAATATGTAACAGAATAAAATTGATAACACTTGAAAAGTCTGATGGCCATTCTTTAATTTCAACTCTCCGAGAATGTAACTGTGAAATATTGCATGGGAACAATAGGAAAAAAATGAACTTTCGATGCTTGCGGATAGAAATATCCCAGACAGACCGTGTATACGCATCCCGTCTGTGATTTGTGTGAACGGTTAAACAGAAATTAGCGTAATCAGGATTTGACGAATGCCTAACACGCAAAATCCACAATCAAATGTTACGAGTTTCCGTAAATATGAAATTGCCAGTATTACGCACGCCGTGCTTGACAAACGAGCAACGTGATTGCAATGGCAGATATTTATGTATTAATCGACTTTCTGTTGATACAAATTAACGATACATAACCGAATATCGCGTTAACTCATTCGAGAGATAGGCGACGCGTAATGGCCGGGATTTCCCGCTGGCCATCGAGTTCTCGCAAATTCTCCTGTCGCTTATTTAATACGGGTCAAGTTGAAACATCGCCGTGTCCGAACAGTATAGCTGCTCCAACGTAGTGTTGTGCTGCGTGCCCCAAATGTATTTTCATTTATCTTCGAATAAAATGAAAAAACTGTTTTGGTAAATAGATTTAAATTTTTTAAACTAATAATATTTACGTATTCTAAATCGACGTGTGCTTTAATATATAACAATTATTAAAGAACAGAATTCATCCAAGAGTATAAAGTGAAATTCGTATTCTTTACACATACTAAGTAGTATAAGTCAATAATTGATTATACATACGGCATACAATACAATATTTCGTTCGCAAAAAAAAATTGCAGTACACATCGAGCAAACCTGGAGAATTATTACACGACGTATATTTTTTTAACGTATAATTACGTATACTTTCGTTCATAAAGTAGGATTTCATTTCCTACGTGTCTTTAATTCTTGGTGAAAGTTCGAACAAAAGATACAATGGAGCACTTAAAAATTTACAAACATTGTACCGTTCTTTATTAGCCAATTCGCAAATGGAATATTTCTAACGCGGGGGATTCATTGAATTTGTAGTAACTTCCCGTGAATCGATGGTAGTGCCGGCGCGTCGGTTTCCACGCTGGCCGTCGATCGCAACCCTGCCCCGTCGAACACGTTTATCAAACTTTTCTCTCAGCCGCCCGATGGGAACAAAGGCGGTTGTTACACGATTGCCGCGAAATTACTTGCTAATCGTGAGAAAGGACTGCTGGTCTGATTACCGATTAACGACGCAATTATTCACCGGCAGGCTCTATAATGTGAATTTCGGTCATGTGCGGTCGCCGACTAAAAGGCGGCACCGCCCGCGCCGTTCGATTACGCGATGAATTACCATTGACGAGATCAGCCCGCGCGTCACCATTCTATTTTCATTTTGGTAATCGTTTAATACAAAGATACTATGATTGCGGCAATTCTAATGGTTTCTCGATAGTTTCGCGATTCCGCAGATTCAATATAGATATTGAGATGAAAATGGATGAGTTCAAAGTGGATGAATTTCAGTTTGAATTTCTGTACTGCAATTAGGATCGTTTAAGGTTTTATCAACTGTGAGATCTCTGCCAGAGGTTTAAAAAGTGGTATTTACAGAGACGTACGATTTATAAAATTATCGACGTGTTTTTTCTAAGTAACCTGGAATTTTTCATATATTCGTATAATTTGTAATATTCTAATACATGATTTTGCCACTTGATAGGATTGTACCTGACTCGCAACTGTCTACGAGTCCTACAATTCTTATTTCTGTGTACTTCTTATTGTATATCTTATGTAAATGCATCTAACAATAAGATTTTATCTACATAAAATCTTGTGTACATAATATCGTTAGACTTCTTATCACGAAGCAATGTAAAAATGCAGAAATTGCAACTGCACGGGGGAAGTACAACATGGTAACCGCAGATGTTTCCTAATTTCATCCTCCGCGCTGGAGAAGTGATACTCATCTCTTGGGTGGCACTTGAAAAAAAATGCGAGTTAATCGCAACGTGTAACAGAAAACGGCGCCCTGGGTAACGTGTACTTAGCTGATGCGTGGCGTGATACTGGCCGGATTTTTTCCACGCCTTCGCGTCGAACGTGGAAAATTCGAGTTTCGGGGTTTCCGTGCCATGGCACAGCTCGGAACATCGTTTCATCCCTTACTAATTAGGTCACAGCTTGTCGGTGGATGCCCCTTCCCTTATAAAGCCATTGATGTTCGTCGAATGAGGCAATTAGAAGACCCTTGGAATAGTGCGGAAAGGCCGCCGGAATAACATCGATCGATTTTATCTTTAAAATTTGTATGTCGAGCCGTCGAGTTCTCATCGAACAAATTCGGTTTCCTAGAATAACTGTTTCTAGCCGGATGATATTGTGTACCTAATATAACTTATCGAAAGTTCGTGGGACGAGAATTATGTCCTTGCTGGCAGTAAACGTTCTCTGAAATTTCACAGGAAACTCACTCGATTAACGAATTATGCGAATCGGTATTCATCTATTATATCATCCGAATAGCCGTATTTTTCGAAGAGCACGAATTATAAATAACAGGGTAACGGAGTAGAATAAACAGGGGGCAGAATATCTAATTTCCTCGCAATAAGGATGAACCGTGGCATACGTACGTGTTATACCTATAGAATGAATGGCCCGCGGCTATGAACCGATTCGATTATAGCGGTCGATGCGAAGCGTAACGCGGAAAGCGTATTCGGCAGGCTCGTAGCCGCGCGATGCATCCGCCAGACCGACCATTTGTAGGCCTCGTGGACTCTTCTTTCGTAACGAAGTTAATAACGCTCGACGGGCCGTCTAACGCTGTTTAGAATGTTGCGGAATTTCGACAGAGTGTTTACCTCGGCGTATTATGTCAGTGGTTCAGCCACCCCGTTTGAAATCGGGACATTAACTACGTTTGCACGCGCGGCGGGGACGCCACCGGTGGTGCGGCGCGACTTCGCCCACTCGCACTCTCTGGCTTACTCGCGGCTTATGCAGACTGCCCATCCGTAAAATGGGACAAAGCATTTGCATTGCTAATTTCCTGCATCGCATCGCGTTACACCGCGGCATCGCTTGCTGACCCGGAACGCAACACCTTTACTCAACGCGAGACGTACGACGCAAGACGCATTTTATTTAGCCAGATTGCCGAGTCACACTCGTGGCTCTATGATTATCGTTAACTCCGAGAGAGCGAGTCAGTGGTTAAACAGGTGTCTGTTTAAAGTGCAGATGAAAAGGATTAGTTCGTTCAATGCTATTTAAATAGGTGAACGTCAGTGGAATTTTTCTGTCCCTTTTTCCACTAAAAATACTCGGGGCATTTAGTTTAGTACAATTTTCCTCTGGCGAGGCGACGGAAAAGTGCGCAACGCTCCTCTAGCTGACAAAAGGGTTATTACATCCGACGTGATCTCGGGAAAGGACGCGATGATACGTAACACGCGACACGGTTAATTTAATTATGCGACGCACGCAACACAACGCGACGCGACGCAAACTTCATCCGTCGCTTTTGCCACGGTATTATCGCTGGCAACGTAACCACGCGTTATTCAGAGATGCTCGCTGCAAATAATCCGCCATCCATAAATGAGAACTGTGGTACATATGAACGGGAGTAGGCGGGAAGCTGTTTTTTTTTTTTCACCCCATTAGAGAACATCAATATTATACATCGTTAATGAGGGACGATGATACCACTTGAAGTTTAGGAACGGAATGGTTCGCGTTGATCGAAAATCATATCATGCTTTACGTATTTAATTCTGTTTAGCATCGTTAATAGCCTCTCCTCGTGTTCCATGCCATTCAGCCGCGCGTTCCTTCACATAGGCAATATTAATAAGTTTCGCGAGGTCGTTTCCCCTTATGAATCTCCCAGCTTCATTCATTGATCACTCCATTCCGCTCATTTCTTCCACGATTATTAAAAAGAGTAATTGATTTTATTGGTATTCCTCGTTCTTTCATTTCAGTAACGGTCCATTAAATGTCGAAACATATAAAGACATGTACCCCCTTCTATAAATATTTAGATACCGATTAATAACTTCTTTATGCGTATCTATCTGTATAAAAGTTTATTGGAACCAGCTGAAAGTACGGGCAATTACACGTAATT